TATATATTGATTTTGATTTCCAGATCTGTGATCTATTTGTCGTTCTTTGATTCTGTTTATGTTTTCCTGTATTAAATGCTTTCGATTGTTTGGCCAACAGTTGAATTGATTGTAAATGGGAATGAACTCGAGAGAGGATTTCTCGTTTGATTTTAGGAAAGCATAGCTCAGGTTGTGGAAACGGAGACGTGATGCACCTCGGGTAGCCCTTAAGGACTTGACCTAAATGCTCTCTTAATATCAGGTTCTGAACGGAGACGTCGGACCTGTGGGTAGACTCTAACTACACTGGAGACGGGGGTTAGGGTATTTTAGTGTCTGGGTTAGCGAACATAGAATTGACATTAGATTCGGATCTGTAGATCTTTATCGATAGTACACTGGTGGATTTTACCCTAATACTAATACTAATACTAATAATACTACTAATACTAATACTAACTACTATTACCATATGAATGCCAATAGGGGTGAGCGAAAAATCCGAGAAACCGAAAAACCGAACCGAAAACAAAAAAAAGCAAGCCGATTTGCCCGTCCCGACTTAAAACCGAATATACGGTATTTTTTTTTTTTGAAAAATCGAAAATATCGATTTGTGTATGGAGAATAAAAAAATTACCGAACCGATTTCCCGAACCGAACCGATTTCCCGAACCGAACCGATTTATACAAAATGATGTCTTTTTTATATATAGTACAAATACTTACCCTAGCGTGCCTCTATCTTTCGAGCGCCTCGATGTGCATTGTTTTTCTATTAAATAATTTTGGATAAGACGTGTTTCTCATTTTTTAATTTTCGGTTGTTATTTGTTAATTTTCTCAAATAAATATAATGAAAGTCCAAATATATCAGTTTTATGCTGACCCCCACTCGAAAAAAATGGATGAAATCGAAATAGAAAATAAATCGAATTGATACCAATATCGTTAATCGAAAACCGGAAAACCAATTAACACCGAACCGAAAAAAACCGACATATTCGGTTTTTAAAATATGAAAAA